GGAGGAGGCGGCGGATACGGGCGCCCGCCGCCGCCGCCGCAACGGGCCGGCGGCGGCGGGAGCGCGCAGCCCAAGTATGCGTCGCCGCGCGCGCGCAACCCGCACCGCGCGCGGGCGGGCGGGAGCGGGCAGCGGCGCCCGAGCGAGCGCGGCGTCGACCGCGACGGCGAGATGCAGCCGAGATGCAGCCGAGATGCAGTCGAGATGCAGTCGAGATGCGGCCGAGATCCAGCGGTGATGTGGCGGCGGCGCGAGTCGAGAGGGAGATCGGTCCGAGCGAGTCGGAGATCGAGGCGGGTGCAGCGACGCGTGCCTAGACGCACACCTCCACCCGCGAGCAGGCGACGGTGTGGCGGACGCGACGCACGAAGACAAGGACGGCGACGGGGTGTGCGCGCTGCGCCGCTGACTTGTGCGCCGTCGGAGACCGAGCCGACGTTTGGCCGACTCGTTTTGCCGGGTCGTGTAGGTGTATGAGCTGTACCACGAGGACGAGGACGGCGACGGGGTGATGGACTTGGTGCGCGGGAGCTGTCTAGGAAGTGTCTAGGAAGTGCCTGGGGAGTGTCTAGGAAGTGTCTACGAGGACCGCTGGGGCGGTCGCGCGGTAGCGGCCTGCCGGGCAGCGGGGAGCCCCCCCTTGAGCCGGAGCCGCGGAGCCGCCGCTCGGAAGTGTCTAGGAAGTGTCTAGCCGACGCTCGGCCCCGCCCCTCCTCCTAAAGGTGCACGAGGACACGGACGGCGACGGCGTGTACGACACGGTGCACGAGGACGTCGACGGCGACGGCGAGGCGCACCTCGCACGAGGAGCGCGACACTTCCTGGACGCGTCCTGGACACTTCTCAGACACTTCCTAGGCGGACCTCATCCACGAGGACCGCGACGGCGACGGCCGGACCGACTACGTGCACCAAGACGTGGACGGGGACGGCGTGCTCGACTTGGTGCACGAGGACGTCGACGGCGACGGCGTCATGGACGTCATCCACGAGGACACCGACGGCGACGGCGTCGCCGACCTGGTGCGCGTGTGCGCGTGGG